ATATCGGAAAAATGTACGGTTCCCGTGGGATAGATTTCTTTTTGTTTTTCTAGAGATGAACCCGAGCGAAGCCAGGGGGAATTGCTAGTGTAATATAAATTATATGGAAATTCCACTATTCTAATAATGTTTTTCTTGCTTTGTGTTGCTCACATAGTATCAATACATATAAACAAATCTTAATTAAATTATTGTCTATACATTTGTTATATACTGTTAAACATGTATTATTATACATATATTTTTGCCTTTAACACTTTATACGATACCTACAGAACGATAATTACGTTTGTATACCCCCCAACGAGCGAGTATAAGGAAAATGATTAGGTATATTGAAAGAAGTGAAAGACATCGTAGAGCTTGGCACTCTGTTTTCTCTAGCTATCCTTCAAGGGAGATCAAGTATTGTAAAAGGTATTTATGATAAAGGTTTCATTTTATAGACAAAAGTGTTCTTGATTGTTACTACGACTACACACGTACACAAATTATATATATATCTTACACAAATATTATGAAATATATTTTTTACACAAAATTTCATGAAATACAGTTATTATAAAGAAACTAGTTTTCGTCTTTAGTGGTACTCACATAGTAAGTAGTTCGATAAAAATAATTTACATTATAACAGGACATAAGCTATCTTCATTCCATATTCCAAATCAATCCTGATGTGCTCCTTCAGCGATGTAAAGAAAAAAACAAACCTCCTTTACGCAATTATAATACAAATTAATGCGATGAAACACTTAAACCTTGCGCTCATATTTTATAATTTTGATCCATTTCACTTTTGCGGTTTTTAATTTACATATTGCGATTATCGTATTGTAAACATTTAAAATAGATAAAAATATTTTGTTTTCTAAACGTAATTGCTCTTAAACTTGCCTGGTACCGATAAAAAGCCGATACAAAAACTAGATAAAACAAACAATTCAAATTGATGGCTTCAAGCCTTCCTTCCCTAGGTGTAATTTTACGACTTTTGAAGATCATTGAGAGTATACTAATAGATACTAATTTTACTGCCATACCATATGTTGTTACCGAATCGGATTTCACGACGACTATAAAATAGTTTTTGTTACGGTTCCGATATAATAGATAATAGTTCTGGTTAGCGCCGATCTCATCATGCCAAGTTATATACGATATTTCCATCAAAAGTTTACGCCAATAAATGGATTATATTGAATAAGTTCGCTACGACTGGGACGTGAGATATAGAGAAAATGATAAAAAAACTTTGTTAGCGAGGGATGTTGATGAGGCTAAAGATCTCAGAAAAACCTTATTAATAAATAATGATGGAAAAAACAATGTCTTGTATAGAAAACTCGTTTCTAATACAAATTTTTGGTGGGTCGATTCTTCAAAGGAAATAGATATATAGGTATTTGTATTCCAGGTTCACTTTAATATATTTTAAGATATGATAACTGCAAAAAGAAGTATACCTATAAATATCAGAATTATAAACGTATATGTGGTTTTAAGTTCTCCCTTAGTGTATTATAAAAGTCCTCTACACATTACAATAAAATGCAATGCTGCTTCCGGATTAAGTACTAAAGTGTGAAAATCTAAAAAGAGTTCAGCCACGGTCGGCCATGAGATAAATCCTGAAGGAGACGGTTCGTAATAAAACACGTACGACGCGGGGCGCTACATTTTATTTCAGAAAGCGATAAGGACGCGAGAAATTCCTTTTACGAGATTCTTGCGGAGGGGAGGTAGGGGTACAGTGTGAATACAGCTCGTGTGCGACATCTGGTTTATGTCGGCGTTGGTTCGTAAACTCGGCGAGGGCGGTGCGCCTGTCGGGTCTGTCTCGACGCTCAAATCGTTCGATGCACTGTGACAATGATCAATGTACTGTAATTACTCACCACAGATATATGTTAACGAAAGCTCGGATCCCAAGTATTTTAATCACTAGTTATGTACGGTTCCCCTTCTGTCGGACCTTTATGTTTCGATATTTATCTGTTTATACTTATACTTTATTTATTAGTCTCGCCGTTGAGAGATACACACGTGTCAAGCTTTTTTGCTTTAAGTAATTTGCACGTAGGCCGCATGAATTATGTATTTAATTTCTGAAGTACATTTTCAAATTATATATTTTTTATGGTAGTATTCATAGATTAAAATATGGCTAACCATTAATTACGTTAATAAGAGAATTTACAATTCATTATTCCGCAAACCGAAAGGGAAATAGTCCCTTGTTTTGATGAAAGCAAAATAATAATTTATAAAATCTTAGATGGTATATTTAAGATATTAAATGTTAATGTAACTATAAATTGACTAAGATAAAAAGCGGTTGAGATTATTATAATTTTATTTCATTTCTTGTATGCGCTTTATCATGACAAAGTTATAAGCGTGATTCAAGGTGTAGAATCACGGTCTGAAAGCGTTCACGGTCCGTAGCCTAGCATTACCGTTTATAGGGGATTGCCCATCAGAGCCGTGTGCTGAAGTAGCCGGTAATAACGCTTGTTGCCTTCCCGTTGCCACTTAACCCGAATAGGGTTCTGTGTAGTGTAAATAAGGAAGCTTCAGCGGAATACTTTTATAAAATATGAATTTTATATTTTAATGGAAAAAGTTAGATTTAATTAAAATTTACTCTACATTTGGATCTCACGGATTATCCATACTATATTATAAATATGAAAGTTTGGGAGGATGGATGGATGATTGTTTCTCTTTCACGTCAGAAGGGCTGAATGGATTTGGATGAAATTTGGCTCAGAGATATATTATAGTCTGGAATAACACATGGGTTACTTTTATCCCGGAACAATGTACGGTTCTTATGGAATAGATTTGTTTTGCCTAAGGACAAACCCGAAGCCAAGCGAGGGTAAGTCGCTAGTATTAAATATGAACAAGTTATTAGTTGCTTAATAAATTTGTAGAGATGACGATATTACATAAGAGGGAACTAGAGAAACGCTTCTCTCTACAACGTATTAACCTTAAACCTTTCAAGTTCCGTTGACACTTAGGAGTTTGTTATTTAGTCTAACTTGTGCATTAACTAGTTTTATGCAAATCATGATACAGACATTGAGTGTTCTGAACATTAATCACGTTATATTGTTAATGTTTGTGTTTTGTGAGGACTCCAGACGCGGTTAGCCAAATTGATGGAGCGAACTTCCCTCTTAATTACGCCTGCTCTAAGTCTGGCTAAATTAAAGTAAATCCGAACTGCAACTTAAACTACTAGTAGTGTTTCTTATTAATAGACTCAAAATTATTCTAGCTACTATTAACAGACGATTTGGATCAGTTTTGCCAAATATATACTGACTATTTAGCATGAAGGAGTGCAAAGTAATGTCATTCCAAGAGAAATTAATTTCTTATTTTAACGTTATCGTCGATTTAACGTGAAGTTGTAAAAAATATATTTTAATTTAACACTTTATGTTATTTTATGATAAAAAATATTTATACTTGAGCGAGTAAGCTGCAATTAGCTACAACAGATAACGTTCGATTAATCCTTTAAAAAAATCTTATAAAAACATCAGTTCATTAGCTCGTTCATTACATACATATATATAGAATCTAAGGGTGCTTTATGGCTTAATATTAAACTAGTTTTATTTAGATCTATCGAAAAGATAATCTTAACACTTTAAGTAGATTGCTTTAGATGCACTGTCGTGAGCATAGTTTATGTTTTGATTTCTAATTAACTTGATACATGGATAGCTTGTGGTATATTGCATAATGCTGGACAATAGAGTTCACGCCAAGTTGAACATTCATTGTGGCTGCCTATAAATTAACTTATACTATTCACATCGTTTATTAACTAAGCTTCCTTTTAACTATGTATCGTGGGAATATACAGATTAGAGGATCCTAAGTAAAACCACGGCTAACTCGTTTCCGTTAGGCATAAATTTTACTATAATGAGTAACGTGAGTGACTAAATAGGCTTATAGCAGAAAAATATGCAATTACTTGGCGTATATGTCACGTACTTGTAGCAAATAGTATTCAGTACGCGAAGTGCAATGTGTTAGCGTCAATTATGTTAATACTGGAATGTAAGATGGCGTAATTAGTTGTTATCTTCTTTATTAGATATCGTTTTATACTTGTTACAAGTGAATCGCCATTCCTTTGCTCACTAAACTTAATTTATTATAAGTATCAGAAGCTATTTCTTATCAATTGCTATCTGCTGGTACTGTGGTTGATTACGTCTCGGTTTCATTGATTCTCTATCCAGAAACCTATAGTTCTTTTCTATCTTCTATTAATTTTGATTATAGGTATATTATTATGATTTAACATAATCAGTCAGTATTGCCAATTTCTAAAGTTACTACTAATTAAATAACATATTTAAATTAAAAAGATCTTTTTTTAAGAACTACTAGAAATAAGTTTTATGTTACTGCCATCGTAGTCAATATATAAGCCTTTCGTTCCGCCTAGTCTAGGACAATGCACTTTTCGTACCGCTCACAATGCCTGGCTTTATTTTTACCAGACCAGGGCACACATATGACAAAGTAAGCACGCATCCTGCATTATGTTCAAACTGACCTATGACCTATCCCATTCCATTATAATAACTTTCAGTCAAATAACATGATAAAATCATTACAATAGGCATTTACCCTACGATAATAGTAGTATTCTTAAAGAAGACTAACGAAACTGGATACCAGAAGTGCTTACTATATACTTTGTACAAAAACGAAACAAATAAATACAAACTACTATAATTATTACGAAAAATTGTCTATTCTATGTTTGCGCGTTTGTGTGTATGTTTCGATGGAAAGTACATAGATAGATTTTGACCTGAAAAACATATAGAATATTTTCAGAAGCTAGGGTAGAAGAGGGTAAATCTAAGGAGCTAATTGCTTTTTAACACTTAATGTTAATCGTGGTTTTGGCTAATCTAATTCGCCTGGTACCGGGTACGTGTTAATAAAATGAAAGCTACCTGGTGTGGCGTGTAGGGGCTGGGTGCAGCCGCGTAGGGCTGCGGCTGCGGCGGCGGGTAGCGGCAGGGCTGCGGCGCGTAGGCCGCGGCCCACTGCTGCGTGCCGCCGCGGAACTGCGCGCCCGCGCTCGCCATGCGCGCCGCGCACGCGCCCGCGCCCGCGACCGTCACCGCGCCCGAGCCTGCGCCGCTCGCGGAACGACAGCCGCTGCTCTGTAACAAGTCGAACAGGCAATTAATTAGATAAATTGGTAGATTAAGGAATAATAGGATGACGGACGAAATTGATTGTTAATACTATGGACCTATAAGACTGAACAAGAAAAAGGATTGCATTGGAACTTATGTTTTAACTTAATCAGACTGTTATTATAGTTTAAATGTTTGTGTATATGAATTACTTCTTCACGCTGAAACGGTTGGATGAATTTGGATGAAATTCGCTGCATAGATAGACTGCCGCCTGGAGTAACTTAAGGGCTACTGTTAAGCAGTTAGGGACGTTCTCGGGCGAAGCAAAGGTAAATCGCTAGTGGATAAATAAGGCATGTTTCTAGATGACGTTGAAAACAGATTTCAACAGAACTTGTACCTACATGTTTTTAAGTCCCCGATAGGATTATTGAATTATCCCTTTTTTTATTCACGCACCTCGTTTTGGTCATTGCTTAATATTGATTAAAGAATCAATTTTATTTTCAAAAAACCGAATAATTCATTTCAATTGATTTAGAATTATATTTTGGTTATAATATTTTATATTTTATAACTTTAATACATATATTTCAAAATTATTTGAAAGTATCTATTCTGTCTCATTTAGGCACACGCAAGAGATGCCGTTAGATTTTTAAATGCATTTGTCTATGTGTATCTAACAGTAACACGAGTCGCTACAAATATTTGCACGGCCTTAACAAACACTCTCGCGAATAGTAATTGAAAGGAAATGAACCCAACATTTAATACGGGAATGTATAGAAACAATAATTATTTTTATAGGGATTATAATGAAGACTAAATAAATAAAGTGGTTAGATCATTATATTCTGCACTTTTTGGTTTTTACCATACGTCTTGGTTGGTAGCTTCTAACTGGAATTAAAACCATACGGAAATTGAAATGTTACGATTAACTTGGTAGCAGTAGTCTTTCTATAACGATAAATAATATTAATGTTAATTTATAAAGAACTTAAAAACATTATATTCTGAATTCATTCGCTCATTTATATGAAGAAATCAAAAGATAAAAATAAAATGGAAGACGTACAAAGAGCTATCGTGAATTGCACTTATAAATTCCACTTGTCATATTCAGACCGTATCCGGGACGCTCGTTAAATGTTAATCTAGATTTTATAATCGTATGGATTAAATATTATATATTGAATACGCTATTGTCATAAAATACGTGTATTACACGCATGTAATGTTTGTAAAATATTTTTTTTTATAAAAGTGAACACCATTAACCTTTTTTATTATATTTACTGCTTTAATAATATTTTCAAAATATCTGATTATATAAATAAATATCTCTTAGAGATTAAACAAAATTTAAAACATACCTTTAAGATAGAGAAGCTTCAAAAAGTTCTAAAAAACCGTGGCAAGAGCTTTAGCTTGTACGTTTAAAAGGGCGAGTTAAGTCGGTCAGATACTAAAGAAAGCACTATAGCGCTTAACACATTTAACCATTGTGCGATTCACGCTGTCGATAAATCAGCATTAAGAATTAATTTACATGGTAAGTTTAATTTTAAATGCTTATACAATATGAGTTCTATTTGTCTATTTAACACTAATTTAACCGACATAAATAAAATTATTTGTATTATTTTTAAATCATTTCAACAAAGAAGATTTACCGTGCGGATTGCTCGTGGTACTTCTCTGATAGCAGAGTGGACCTTGGAGCAACCCCATGGTTGTGGTGGTCTGCTTCGGCAGACCTGCCGTCGGGGCGTCATAGTTGAATGCGTAGGTAAGCGATCCTGCGACGCCCCATTAAAACGGGGGAAGGTTTTGTTGGGGTTTAGTGGGTAGTACTGGCTTTGCCGGTGAGTCCGACACCTCGTGCGTAAATCCCAACGTTAAAATAAAAGGTACTCATTGTTTTGTACGTGTACAAGTAGTTTGAACGTGTTTACTAGCGAGTTAATCTTATAAAAAATATAATATGGCGATGATCTGTTCTTTTCTGTAGCTTCAAAACATTATTACTTTTATATATTAATATATTATTTTATATATTTTTCAATTTTTAAACATTATTTATTGCTCTTACCTTAAATGTAACATTTAATTATTGACTTCGGTTTGCTCATCGTAATTCACGCCTTTTAATATGTTGCATCATGTACTCTGACGTAGACGTATGACTATGAGAGATTGGCATCTAGGTATCTAGTGTGCCGAGAACCGTGACGAAGCGTCTTGAAAATTTTCGCAATGTCTAGAATCTAGCCTATTTTACCTTTAACTGTACACCATTTAGCTTTATTCTATTGGCACATTTATCATTGATGATTATAAAAGAGACTTAGTTAGGTACTAGATATACATATAATAAAATTGTAGCTGAGCCGAATCAGTACATTAAATATTTTTTCGAAAATCTTATTGAAATAGACATTATTATCGATACAGAGGCCGAACCTATAGTTTTTAAAAATTTTGTCTGTCTGTCTGTCTGTCTGTTACCGCATCACCGAAAAACCACTGGAGGGATTTCGATGAAATTTAGTATGGTGATAGCTGGTTGTCCGGGTCAACATATAGGATACTTTTTATCGCAGGAAAATATCTCATTTCTGAGAAAAAAGAAGAAGATTAGACCAATATGTAAAACGTAAGGATTTGGTTTTTGGTCATATAAACGCGGGCGGAGCCGCGGGCAATGCTAGTTAGATTATAAAATACACAGTTTAATTATCAAACAAATGTCAATGCAAAATGTTCCTAATGCCAGGATTAAAACAATGAATTATTCATCCGGTGAAATCCGTTAAAAAGTAGTTTTATTCAGAATTAAGTGTTTCCAGCAGTCAGATAAATATTTTTACATAAAATGAAAGTTTCTGTCAAATGAATTATGAGTTGTTCATTTTTCAAACCATCTCTGAGGGATATTAGAAGGCGTGAATTTCGACATTCAATATTTGTTATGCCAAGCGAGTGTGTTCCCTAAGAACGAGATTTATAGTGGCAATAATAATAATGTATAATTTAACCAGACGACCCCCAGCTTCGAACTTAATTATTTGAGTCACGGAATTCCAAAAACCGTCCAAGAAACCTTAGGGACCAGAGCGCTGTTGTAACATTTTTCAAGCAAATAGCGATCTTATTCTTTAAAAGCATTTTTTGCTACTGTAAGAAAATATAGGTGAGTAAGACTGTCGGGCTATAAGCCGACAATCCGCTTAGCGAGCGTGGGCATGCAGACTAAGGAATTAGGGTAAAATATAGAATCACTAATGATTGTTATAGCGATGATTCCTTCAGGCTTCACCCTCAACCGATTATAATAACAGATTCAACGAATGAAACTTCAATAGTTCAAAGTAAATTTAAAAAATCAAGGACATGTTTGGTTATAATATGTACATATATTTTCCTCCTATAACTGTAACCCTTCTAAAAGTGAATGTACGTTACAAATAGGTACGTAAAGGCGGTCGTGATGATTAAGCCAATTATATCTAATTGTACATCTACGTTAATGATAGAACGCTTTCTTGGCTTATACGAGATATAATAATGTAATAGGCCATACTGGATAAGTTTCTAAGAAATATGGTACAAAAATGTTTATAGAATGTAATATTTGATGTAAGCTGGCCTTACTGAAGTGTAATTGTGTATATTTTCTGCAATAATAATACTTATATACAGCATAAATTACATTAGCGTACTAATGATGAATTATATTATGGTAAGCAAGTAGTAAATATAAAAAAAACGTATTGAACTATAAGAATCAAAAGAGGTAATATAGACAATAATGTGCTAATCATTTCATTTTTATATCTACGAGTTCTTTTGCGTAACGTAATTTAGGGTGGAGATAAAAAATAAACCAGCAAGCCAGATCGCAAAAGGCGCTTGTCATCTAGTGGTAAGGAATATAGCATTTTCTCGACGGAGATTTAGTTTTATGTCGAGTGGGAAGAACGGCGTCGGTAGGTCGCGACGATGTCTCGGCGACGCGCCTTAAGACGCTCTTTTTGTCTCTCAAGGACGATAGGTTTAGATCTAGATAGGTTTAAAATAGGGATTAGAAGATACGGACGTGGCTATTTGTAACAATAAACTGAGCTAGTGTTAAGTTATATGCGATTAATCTATATAGGTTTAAATTTCAGAACTGTACAACATTAATTAGATTATTGCGAATACCTACAACTTAATGATAAAAATTATGATCTAACCCAAGCTACAGAATATACACAAACTATAAAAATGCTCCTGAATCGTGTTTCGACTACAATGTGAATAATAATAATTCATGAACTACATATATAAAGTTATTATGATAATTATTTTAATTTGAAATTCTATCGTTATTGAAAACATTGCTTAGGTACCTTTGTACCTTCAAAAATATGTTTCATTAAATTAATTTTATACCCAATTTACCAAGTAAGACCCTTCTCGGGACAGGAAGAGGAACTGCTTGTGGATTTCATAGTTTCTGAACGATTTTTGAAGTTACAAACGTATTGACAGTTACAGAAATATTTCTTAAACATTATAACAGAAAAACAAAGAATTTTAAAACTAGGTACCTAATAATCTAATGAATATTCTTTAAACTTGTCCCCTTATTGTTCCTGGTAGTTAGAAAATTCACGGGTCCTTTATTCCTTTATACATACATCATGAAATTTTACTATATTACACCAATTCAACTAGAAAAAGTAACTTTAAGGTACTTTTTCTTTTCAGTCTTCTTATGGTATCCATAACATCAATAAATTTGTTACCTTTAAGGTTCTATTGATGTCGGCGTAGTTTTCTATAATACCTACTAACAACAAGATCGTTTTGACAAGTAAGTATAGACAACTAGGTACCATGGAATTTTAATAATTATTTTTAACTGAGTTGTTCCGTGTACCAAATTATTTCGATGCCCTAAAGCTGAATCCTATAAGTCCTCACGTGTATATGGTCGTGTAGGACATGTATATGGTCTTCTGTCCTATCCCTTTTTGGCGTAACATTTCCGGCTTACTTTTGTACTACCTTTTAAACTTTTTAAATTCTGAGAGTATGCATTTAAATGATTTGCAATCTATTTACAGACATATCCATCATACCAAACTTTTATACGTTCTGCAGCGTAAATATTGTAGTGAAAGTTTTATATATCTATAAACAATAGATTCATTTCAAAATATAGTAACTAGTAAAAAAGATAGTTTCAACCGTAGGGACCGTGTCATACGCACGCATATAAAGCGGATGTTTTGTGGTTTTACAATACAAAGTTGATTAAAAACTCCAAGGCAATATTCTCGTAATAGAAATTAGCTTTTGATATTCTTCTACTCTTCAAACAGAGTTGTTTTCCAACTACGCAAAAGTGCAAGAAACAAAAAATATAATTGATGCTTCTTTCCATTTTCTTTATAATTACTTAAATAATTTTTTTAAGTTCTAATCTGAAAAATTCTGAGAGTAACAATAATTTTGTACGCTGTTGTAGATAATACAAGTACATTGTACAAACTTTTTGCCCTCGTCTAATATGTATATGTGTATGTATGTTCCCTATGGACTCCAGAACGGCTGGAGCGATTTTGATGAAATTTTCTGGCAATTTTCAGATTCGCGGTTGATCATATGAAGTTTGGTATCAATCGGAAGTTCAAATAAAAAAAGATATATAAGTTCTGTTGTTGTATGAAATTTTACAGATTTACATCTAGTTTTTTTGGAAGATATTTGATCTAATTTATTAATATTTGATTATTATTTTATTAGTATCACCAATACCTTATATACATATAAACAATATGTAAATTATCTCCTACCATCAAGTAAAGGTCAAGACTTATTTGACTTTGTGCCCTAAATAAGAAAAAATATTTCCTAATAGTT